GGACATGCCTAAAAGATCTAATATTTTTGTTGTTGTTGTGAATTTGGTGTATTTTCATTCAAATATCTGTTTCAAGTCATACATTTTTTAAATTACCCCTAATTTTTACAATTGAAGACGGTGTTACATTTAATCCTGCAGCCTGTTACATTTAACAATAGTAACATTTCACTGCCGCCACTCTCGGTTGAATTATAAGCAACTAGTATGTCCTAGAAACGTAGTTACAGTGTCTAATGGTAGCTGACACATGTGTGTTGTTTGTATGTATATTTTTAATCTAACTTTTCATAAATAAGCAAAAGGTTTTACATTTCACCCCAGTCTTCCCTACTGCCTTAACGGGAATTGCTTGGGAACATTGTGTTTCTACATAAGAGGTCTGAACTCAGGGCCAGTCTGGAGGACTCCGCAGTGCACAGCCTGCTTAGATCTTCCTGAGCTCCCGGGACACATGCCAGCCACACACACACACACTCTCTCTCTCTCTCTCTCTCTCTCTCTCTCTCTCTCTCTCTCTCTCTCTCTCTCTCTCTCTCTCTCTCTCTCTCTCTCTCTCTCTCTCTCTCAATTTAAGAGACTATTACTCAGCAGTAAGAAATAAAATGAATACACTTTCACTTTGAATGACACTTTGTGTATCTCAACTACAGTGCCTTCGGAAAGTATTCAGACCCCTTCACTTTTTCCACATTTGGTTACGTTACAGCCTTATTCTGAAATTGATCTACACACAATATCCAATAATGACAAAGCAAAAACAGGAAAAAAAAATATCTGCAGCAATGAAGGTCCCCAAGAACACAGTGGCCTCCATCATTCTTAAATGGAAGAAGTTTAGAACAACCAAGACTCTTCCTAGAGCTGTCTGCATGGCCAAACTGAGCAATCGGGGGAGAAGGGCCTTGGTCAGGGAGGTGACCAAGAACCCGATGGTCACTCTGACAGAGCTCCAGAGTTCCTCTGTGGAGATGGGAGAACCTTCCAGAAGGACAACCATCTCTGGGCCACTCCACCAATCAGGCCTTTATGGTAGAGTGGCCAGACAGAAGCCACTCCTCAGTAAAAGGCACATGACAGCCCGCTTGGAGTTTGCCAAAAGGAACCGAAAGACTCTCAGACCAAGTAACAAGATTTGCTGGTCTGATGAAACCAAGATTGAACTCTTTGGCCTGAATGGCAAGCGTCACGTCTGGAGGAAACCTGGCACCATCTCTACGGTGAAGCATGGTGGTGGCAGCATAATGCTGTGGGGAGGTTTTTCAGCAGCAGGGACTGGTAGACCAGTCAGGATCGAGGCAAAGAGGAACGGAGCAAAGTACAGAGATCCTTGATGAAAACCTGCTCCAGAGCGCTCAGGTCCTCAAACTGGGGCGAAGGCTCACCTTCCAACAGGACAACGACCCTAAGCACACAGCCAAGACAACGCAGGAGTGGCTTCGGGACAAGTCTCTTAATGTCCTTGAGTGGCCCAGCCAGAGCCCGGACTTTAACCCAATCGAACATCTCTGGAGAGACCTGAAAATAGCTGTGCAGCAACGCTCCCCATCCAAAATGACAGAGCTTGAGAGGATCTGCAGCGAAGAATGGGAGAAACTCCCCAAATACAGGTGTGCCAAGCTTGTAGCGTCATACCCAAGAAGACTCAATGCTGTAATTGCTGCCAAACGTGCTTCAACAAAGTACTGAGTAAAGGGTCTGAATACTTATGTAAATGTAATATCCGTTTTGTATTTGTAATAAATTAGCAAAAATGTCTAAACTTGTTTTTGCTTTGTCATTATTACATTTACATTTACATCATTTAGCAGACACTCTTATCCAGAGCGACTTACAGTTAGTGAGTGCATACATTATTTTTTTTTTTTTTTTTCATACTGGCCCCCCGTGGGAATCGAACCCACAACCCTGGCGTTGCAAACGCCATGCTCTACCAACTGAGCTACATCCCTGCCGGCCATTCCCTCCCATACCCTGGACGACGCTGGGCCAATTGTGCGCCGCCCCAATGGTCTCCCGGTTGCGGCCGGCTACGACAGAGCCTGGATTCGAACCAGGATCTCTAGTGGCACAGCTAGCACTGCGATGCAGTGCCTTAGACCACTGCGCCACTCGGGAGATATGGTGTAGATTGATGATAAAAACATTTTAAAAATCAATTTTAGAATAAGGCTGTAACGTAACAAAATGTGGAAAAAGTCAAGGGGTCTGAATACTTTCAGAAGGCACTGTACTTGCCCCCTCATTTTCAGATTCCTACACAGATATAGCTTCCAAAACAGCATCACTAGATGCTACTGAGTGACTTACAGGCTGAGCAGACTTCCATCTTGCAAGCTATTGCAGTATATTCATTACCTTATTATCTTAGGTAAACCAAGTATCAGACTTAAAGTTCAAAAACGCAAAATGGACAGGTTTATGATGCCTTTGTTCTTGGTCCTCCTAGGCCTTTCTTAGTCATTGAGGGCAGAGTCGAGGACAGCGTCAGGGCCAGTGGAATCGCAGGTACCAAATGGTGTCATTACTCAATTAAGGTCCAAACAGTGGATTCAGGGATGAGAAAAACACAATATGATTCATGATTATGAACACATTCTGAGTCCATTCAATTATCTTATTCATAATGCACTCTCCTGATCTGCTTCAAGCACTCTTATCCTCTTTGTATTGAATTCATCTTTAATATGACCAAAGCTAGAATGTGGATAATTTTTTAGATCCATTGATTAAAAACCAATGATGCAACATGCTATAATTTGTACTGTGGAGTGATAAATAAAATGGGAACAAATAGGGTGTTGTTCAGCAAACCAACCTCTCTTCTTCATGAATTCCCCAAATGTTATTGAGGAGACAATGCACTGTGCTTGTTTTGTACATTTGCTTTCAATGTTGTGGCCAGCTACTGTCGTCAGCTGGTTCATTAACACAAAGGCTCAGTAACACACAGACATAGGCTGCTCCACAAGCTCAATATTTATCAAAGTGTTGCTATGTAAATAGATGCAGACAATCCAAAGTGAAGAGAACTGGCTGCTGTTTGTTTCTTGTGTTTCCTTGATCTGCCTGTACTATAATCAGTCCAGCTGTCATAGTTGCCAGGGGAGAGAGGGAGCAACTAAAAGCCCACTCTCTGGCATTTGTTCTGAAGCACAGAGACCCTTACCTTATCCATCAAACCCTGATAACTGGCAAGAGTGGTTTCATTAGGCTACAACAAGGTTTAAGTGGTGATCTCTGTAAAATATGAATACAGGCCAAACAGGCACATAAGTACTGCCTTGTTGCGCAAGTTGAACAGACCCCAATTAAAGACAGGGGATTTGTAACAAATATGTGGCTTATTGAGCTCATGGGCAAATCCCCAGTTTGATCCTCTTGTGAATCACACTGGTTTCTCACACACTTATATACAAAATACTATTCTGTTTCTTTCACATTCTTGGCAGAGCTATGGGTGGCAGGAAGCCTAGTGTTGGGCCAGTAACAGAAAGGTTGCTTGTTAAAATCCCAGAGCCGACTAGGTGAAAAATCTGTTGATGTGCCCTTGAGCAAGGCCCTTAAACCCAATTGCTCCTGTAAGTCGCTCTGGACAAAATTGATTCCCCCCTCTACACACAATACCCCATAATGAAAAAGTGAAAACATGTTTAGAAATGTTAGCAAATTTATTGAAAATGAAATGCAGAAATGGTATTCACACTCCTGAGTCAATACTTTGTAGAAGCACCTTTGGCGGGAGATTACAGCTCTGAGTCGTCTTGGGTATGTACATCTGGATTTTGGGATTTACTCCCATTCTTCCTTGCAGATTTTCTCAAGCTCTGTTAAGTTAGATAGGAAGCGGCGGTGAACAGCATTCTTCAAGTCTTTCCACATATTTTCAATGGGATTCAAGTCTGGGCTTTGGCTGGGCCACTCAAGGACTTTCACATTCTTGTTCTGTAGCCATTCCAGTGATGCTTTGGCTGTATGCTTGGGCTCATTGTCCTGTTGGAACGTACATTAAATCCCCACTCCAGTCTAAGGTCGTTTGCACTCTGAAGCAGGATTTAGGATTTGCCTGTATTTGGCTCCATTCATTGTTCCCTCTATCCTTACCAGTCTCCCAGTCCCTGCCAATGAAAATCATCCCCGTAGCATGATGCTGCCTCCACTTTGCTTCATGGTAGGGATGTTGTTAGACGGGTGATGAGCTGTGCCTGGTTTTCTCCAGACATAGCACTTTGCATTCAGGCCAAAGAGTTAAATTGTTGTCTAATCAGACCACAGAATCTTTTGCTTTATGCTCTCAGAGTCTTTCACATGCCTTTTTGCAAACTCCAGGCATGCTGTCATGTGCCTTTTTCTCAGGAGTGGCTTCCGTCTGGCCACTCTCCCATAAAGCCCAGATTGGTGAAGTGCTGTAGAGACTGTTGTTCTTCTGGCAGGTTCCTCCATTTCAGCCAAGGAACTCTGTAATTCTGTCAGAGTGGTCATCGGGTTCTTGGTCACCTCCCTGACCATAGTTGCTGCTCTGACATGTGTCTCTTATTATGGCAGTCTGCAAACAAATATTATAGGTGCATGCCGCCACCTACTGTGTATCAGCCTACTATTCTGTAGTATGAATACATTACACTTTCTGACATGCACTGTCAACTGTGGGACCTTATATAGACAGGTGTGTTTCTTTCTAAATCATGTCCAAACAATTGAATTGGCCACAGGTGGACTCCAATCAAGTTGTAGCGACGTCTCAAGGATGATCAAAGAAAATTGGATGCACCTGAGCTCAATTTGGAGCGTCATAGCAAAGAGGTGTGAATACAATTTGTAAATGAGATATTTCTGTATTTAATTTCAATAAGTTTGCAAACCTTTCTAAAAACATGTTTTCACTTTGTCATTTTGGGGTACAGGGTGTGTAGGTGGGGTGAATCTTTTAAATATTTAATCCATTTTGAATTCAGGCTGTAACACAACAAAATGTGGAATAAGTCAAGGGGTATGAATACTTTCTGAAGGCACTGTATGCTTGCCTGTCACTGCTCTGTCTTTAAAATATTTAAACACACAAGTTGAAGCCTGTGATACACAGCAAAACCTCCATGAATTTCTAAAGAGATTTTTTATCAGAAAACTGCAGTCAATACTAGCATGGTAATGATGACCCTGTGAAAAGCAGAGATGGCCATTCAAACAATAATGCAATGGAAGGAACATGTTATTTTTGTAAAGATTAAAACCACATCAAAAAGTTGTCAATAACAATAACTTCATTTGGTCATGTCATGAATTTTTTGTGATAGAATATCGATATTATACAATAAAATCCGACAGTTAACCAAGATTATTTGTCATTGTCATCTCTTTCACATTTCCTGCACCCTAGAAAAGTAATTCTGCCATGCTAGAGGTTAGACACTCGGTCCCTTGGGAATAAACCATGGTACCACCCCTTCAACAAATTCCCAAAACAGTGTAAATACAGTACAACCATAAGAATGGAAAAGCCATGTTGCGTCTTATGATTTGTTTGTTGATTTAAGAATGTTGATTTAAAACTGCATAAGACTAACTTCACGAGAATTACAGTATCTCTGTGAGAATTACAGACAAATCAGGAAGTCAGGTCACATGATGAAGTGCCTACGTCAAGAATCACAATGTGTAATGTAGCCTATTGTTGATACATTGTAGTAATGTGTAAAGAATGCGGTTAGAAGTATTACGTTTGTCATTAGAGTTACAATTTGTCACTATGCAGCAGAGACGCAACTATGTAACAACAATGCAACAGGCTTCAAGCATTGATGACTGTAGCAACAGCAGAAGCTGCTTTGCAGAGAGAAGTTACGTTTTTAAACTCAGTTTAAGACTAGATTGCACACACACAATCGCCATATCGTGCATCAGAAAGTGAATTGAAATAACAGAAGTAAAGATGACACTGAGTGTTTAAAAAGGATAACACATGACAGAGCAAAAAGATAAAGAACCGTTTTCATTTCTTATCAGGTACAACACGTGTACAATCCGTTAGTTATCACTTGAACTAATGAAGAAAATGAAAAAATATATTAAAACTGGCCTTTAATCAGTGCATGATGAGCAGAAATAAAAGTAGCTTAGTTGAGTAAATCAATTCGAACCATATTGTATTTGTTTATCAGAATACAGTAGTAAGCCTTTTGACTATAAGCATTTAGTTTGAATAAAGCCTATATTATTTGCACATCAAGTCAAACAGCTGAGAATGAGCCACTTTAATAACAATTGTTATACAATCTTAATGCACCATCTTCACTCAATATAAAATTCCCTTAGCCATGGAATGCAACGTGGCATGAAATTAAAACATGTTTTATTTTCCATTGCAGCCAGCAGCAGTAACTTAATAAAACAAAACTCCTTAGGGTTAGGCATCATGCTACAACATCATTGTATTGCTGGCAACCTATCAGCAAGGTTCCATAGAAACAATCCCTGCAGCTAGCCTACGGAGCCTGAGTCTGCGCAGTTGGGGTGTCACAGCTCAGTCTTGATCTTGTGCATCAGGTCTTTCTGGTCGACCATCTCCAGCTGCCTGCTCCAGCGGTGGTAGGCCAGCAGAGCAATGTTCTTAGCTGCCACTGAGCTCATTTCCATGGCGCTGCCGGCCCACTCAATGCCATTGAGGTAGTACAGGCTGTCATGAAGGACAACTGGCGGCAGGCTCTGGGTGCTCCCATAATGTGGGTAAGCCTGCCAGTCTGTCACCTGCACAGAGTAGTAGGACCTGAACAATGTCTTCAGCGCTGGCTTATCTAAGGGTTGGGGGGAGAATACCTTGTAAACGCCAGCCTCCTGAGGCTGCTTGCGGCGGAAGCCAGTGCTGATGTTGACGGGACAGATGCTAGCAGCACTGTTGAAGAAGAGTCCTGGTGAGTCTGTGGTGAGAACGCTAGCAAAGGGGAAGAGCTTGGGGTCTGGGAAGCCAAAGTAAGAGCAGTTGAGGTAGCCGTGAACGATGGAGGCCACTGTGTGGTGGTAGGAACCAGCAATATCAGGCAGCTGGGGCTCAAAGCCCTGGAAGGAGATACCTGAGCCCACACTGGACTGCAGGGGAGTCGCCACCACCACAATGTCATAGAACTCAGATCCTTTCTCAGTCAGAGTGGCATAGTTGAGCTGGTACTGGGTAGACTCTCCTTCAATTCACATAAAGAAATGATGGGATTAGTGCAAGTAAATTGATATGTCAGCCCACTGTGGTTAGCACTATGTTATAAACATAATTGTTTAGTCACTTACCAGCTGCATGAGGGGAGATGGTTGTGACCTGGGCCTGGATAAGGTTGGCCTTAGCCAGTTTTAACAGCCCAGAGCAAACCAGCTTGTTCCCTCCCTCCACTGCCCACAGGTTGGTCTGTGCACCTGCCAATGACACGGCACCTATAACACAGATTAAAACATGTGAACATGATTGATCATGCTGATCAACTGCAGTGGTAGACTGGCAGAACGTTATGACCTGAACGGCACACAACTACAAATGTACTTCCAGTTCCTACTAGGGCTGCGACAATACCATTATCGTTATATTTTTTCCATGGCAAAAATGAAGACACAAAGCGGACCTAACTCTTTGGTCCTTTAAAAACCTGCTGTATGTAAAATATTGTATGGTATAGCTTGGATGACAACATAAGGATGTTTGTTTTCAACATTCCAACATTCGGGCTGTTTTCCTAAAGAAGTTCAATCCACTTTGTGTTTTGTTTCCTTGCCACGATACTAACGAGTATCGTGATACTGGTATCCTCCCGGCCTTAGTTCCTACCAACAAAAGCTGGGATGCTGATATTCTGTCCGTAGTTGACCCTCATGATGGGGGCGATGACTTCGTCAATGAAGCGTTGTGACACGCCCAGCTCCAGCAGAGACTCAGAGAGAGAGCAGTGGGTCATATTCAGGAACCCTGACCCCCCCAGGGAGTGCAGCAGCTCCTCCACTGAACTGAAGGCATAGCCATGGGCCTGGTACTTATAAATCCTTAACACATAGACACAGAAAGGAGAGGGACAGATTGTATAGGGGATGTAAGGTGTGTTGAATAGCTTGACAGCGCTCTGAAATCAATAGTAAATCAATTTACAGCGAGAAGGATTTTCCTTGTCTGTCTCGTCTGAGCTCTCTTCCCCTGCTGCCGCTCACCTCATGAACTTCTCCATGATCTCCTCCACCCACATCTGCAGGCGGATGAAGCTGATGCCGTAGCGCCACCACAGGCGGAACAGATCCAGCAGGTACCAGTCAGTCTCCTCCAGGATGAACTCCTCCCCGTTAAACACAGCCGTCTTCCCTGCCACATTCTTACGATACTTAAGTCCTGCAAGAAAAATAGAATAGTGTGATGAGTGGAATAGCATACTGTAGTTACCAGCAAAGCAGTAAGCCTACAGGTATGGAAGATTATCCTACAACCCTCAGTTTCTCCTCTGCTTTGATGTGCATGTAATGGCAATGAACAGAACACCTTTTTGTCTTTGTGGTCTTCACTTGTACTATCTCAGAGGGATCTGACTGGACAGATAAAAAGATGTGGTACTAAAATGTACTATGAATGATTAGGACAGAGATGGACCCACCCAGTTGCTTGACAAAGTCTTGCATGTGCAGGTTTAGGGAATGGATAATGGAGCCCCCGGACTCATAGTCCTGATGGTTGACGGTGACTGTGGCCAGGCGCCCTCCAACTGTCCCCTTCTCGAACACATCAATGTGCACTTCTGGCCCGAAGTGCTGCCGTAGAAAATGTGCTGTGGCCGTACCGCCAATCCCAGCGCCTACAATGGCTGCGCACATCAGAAGAAACACATCAGTAGGCTACAATTTAATGATCTGTCAAAAATACAAGTCATCCCAAACCAGGGAATTTAAATGGCAGTTTTGGTAGTTATTCCATTTCTCTGTGACTGAATAGCCCTCTGAAAGAGCTATAGGCAGCTACTAGGCTAACTTCTCATTAGCTAGCAAACCCAGCTAGCTAACGACGTTAGCAGCATTGCAAGCCACACGTCCCAAAAACTATAGCCAACTAGCTACACAGAATAGAGCTAGCCAGCTAGCTACTTTACCTATTTTTGAAGGTGGAGCACCATCAAGTTGTGCAAATCCTGAGTCTCCTAATGCCAAGATTGACGATAGTAATGTTAGAAGAAATCGGAAAGGAAGACACCAGTGCATGATGCTAGAATTGCGATGCGACAGCCAGCGAGTCACTGCATGTGTGGTCTGTCGCTCAAATACGCCAATGGCAATTGCGAATGAAATTAGCTATCAATCGTAAACGAATGAGGCACTATATGATTCTCCCCGTAATAGAACGACACATGTAAAGTATGTCAAATTTGGAGATTAATACAAAAAAACGATTATGAATGATTTATACCGCTGACAAGATGTGGCTCAATATCCGGCAACATTACCACGTGATCGGGAAAATGCTGTGAGTATAATCTAATCCGAGTTTTCCATTGTGCTCATTGAATTAAAATGATCAATCAAATGCTGGTGCTTGAACCAGTTTTCATGAGAGAAAGACAAAATCCTTTATCTGCTTTTCAGTTTACTGTGATGCGCTAGTAACCAGTGATGTATATAAACCGTGGATTGCGGATGCTATGTACTGGCCATTAAGTGGCGTTGAAGCCAACGATCGGCCATATTGGCACAGTCCTCAATTTATTTTTATTTAACTAGGCAAGTCAGTTAAGAACAAATTATTATTTACAATGACGGCCTACACCGGGCCAAACCGGGACGAAGCTGGGCCAATTGTGCACCGCCCTATGGGACTCCCAATCACAGGCCGGTTGTGATACAGCCTGGAATCGCACTGAGATGCAGTGCCTTAGACCACTGCGCCACTCGGGAGCTCAATAGGAAAGAATGGAATTATACAGTATTTCAATTAAATGTTTCAAGGACAAAATAAGTGTTGTAGTTGTAGTGGGGACAGTAACATTAGTAATCTAAAATTGTTTTACTTTAAGGAAAATGTTATATATATATTTTTTAAATTATGTTTAGCTCACATAATATAATTTAAAAGTATGCATTAAGATGTCTGTAATATAATAAATGTAGCAAAAACGAATGTAGACATTAATGAATGGATTTCTATAGCTTCCAAAATAGTTTTACAACGTGGGGCGTGCCAACCTGGAGGTGCGGTGGCTTCAACATAGCACCCCTTAATTAGTCATCTAGTGTATATATAAATCATTCGTCTTGAAGCCTAACTGGTTAGGGTTGTTAGATTCTAAATAAACAGAGTAAAACTCATGGACCACTAGTAAAGCTCAAACCAAGTTTATTCACCCACTGGGTCACACAGCTGCATAAGACAAAGACATGTTTCCACCAGCACAAGTATTTATACCCCCCTTTAGGCAGAGTCTCCTCCTTTTCTCTAAACACTACATCTTTGTTGCTAGGCAGGAAGTTAAGTGATGTGGGTAATAAACAGTTCCTTCTCCCTTCATGTGACCTGACCTGACCTCGGCCCACATTCCTCACTAATCCACAGCTATCCACCCTTATCAGTGACCGCAACCATGTGATTGCCTTTTCCCTTACTTAGTAACTCTCCAAGTCCCTGGCTCTTATCCAACCTCCATTGACCCCACCATATTCATTCCTCATACATGTACCCATTAACTTCTAGTATAGCAAGTATTTCAAACTAGAACCCAACAGTCCCTCCTATTTGAATAGGAATTCCATACTGTTCAACATCACAAACTTTGAAATGACTTAGAAATGAACAAAAAATAAAACATGATTAACATTCACAGTTGATTTGTATATTTACACCTCAGAGACTTATGGCCTCTGATCTATGATTCCACAATGTACACTCTTATATCCTTCTCTCATCGTACAACTGATAATGACATTTCAGCTGGAGCTTTTGACTTCCTCAATTTCAGCTGGAGCTTTTGACTTTCTCCATTTCCTCCTTCGGGTTCCTAAGAGAGTGATAGCACAAGACTTGAAAAGCAAAAAGATACACAAAACATAACAAGTATTATTAATGCGTTAAGCTATTCATAATTATATATGCAAAGAGAAACCGAAGTTTGATAACATGACGATTCCCACTCTCTCTCTCGCTTGACTCTATGCCTTCAAGATAATTTTCTGCTCGGTTCCACAAAAATGAAGGACCTAAAAAACCTCCTCATGCTTTCACCCAGTCTTCCCCATGTCAGGCCACAGGTGTTCCCAAGCCATGTCATTTTTCACTTCGCTTCCCATCTCCTTTCTCCATGGCCACCCGATATACATGTGCGGTGGCCCTAATCAACTTTACGTCCTGAGGTAAATCAGCACTGTATAAACGTTTCAACATCAACGCCCTCAGAAGATTACATTTTTACATTTTAGTCATTTAGCAGACGCTCTTATCCAGAGCGACTTACAGGAGCAATTAGGGTTAAGTGCCTTGCTCAAGGGCACATTTACGTCATTTAGCAGACGCTCTTATCCAGAGCAACTTACAAATTGGTGCATTCACCCTATAGCCAGTGGGATAACCACTATTTTTATTTTTTTTGGGGGGGGGGGGGGGGGGGGGGGGGGGGGGGGTAGAAGGATTACTTTATCCTATCCCAGGTATTCCTTAAAGAGGTGGGGTTTCAAATGTCTCCGGAAAGTGGTGAGTGACTCCGCTGTCCTGGCGTCGTGAGGGAGCTTGTTCCACCATTGGGGTGCCAGAGCAGCGAACAGTTTTGACTGGGCTGAGCGGGAACTATGCTTCCGCAGAGGAAGGGGAGCCAGCAGGCCAGAGGTGGATGAACGCAATGCCCTCGTTTGGGTGTAGGGACTGATCAGAGCCTGAAGGTACGGAGGTGCCGTTCCCCTCACTGCTCCATAGGCAAGCACCATGGTCTTGTAACGGATGCGAGCTTCAACTGGAAGCCAGTGGAGTGTGCGGAGGAGGGGGGTGACGTGAGAGAACTTGGGAAGGTTGAACACCAGACGGGCTGCGGCATTCTGGATGAGTTGTAGGGGTTTCATGGCACAGGCAGGGAGCCCAGCCAACAGCGAGTTGCAGTAATCCAGACGGGAGATGACAAGTGCCTGGATTAGGACCTGTGCCGCTTCCTGTGTAAGGCAGGATCGTACTCTCCGAATGTTGTAGAGCATGAACCTGCAGGATCGGGTCACCGCCTTGATGTTAGCTGAGAACGACAGGGTGTTGTCCAGGGTCACGCCAAGGCTCTTCGCACTCTGGGAGGAGGACACAACGGAGTTGTCAACCATGATGGCGAGATCATGGAACGGGCAGTCCTTCCCCGGGAGGAAGAGCAGCTCCGTCTTGCCAGGGTTCAGCTTGAGGTGGTGATCCGTCATCCATACTGATATGTCTGCCAGACATGCAGAGATGCGATTCGCCACCTGGTTATCAGAAGGGGGAAAGGAGAAAATTAGTTGTGTATCGTCAGCGTAGCAATGATAGGAGAGGCCATGTGAGGATATGACAGAGCCAAGTGACTTGGTGTATAGGGAGAAAAGGAGAGGGCCTAGAACTGAGCCCTGGGGGACACCAGTGATGAGAGCACGTGGTGCGGAGACAGCTTCTCGCCACGCCACTTGGTAGGAGCGACCGGTCAGGTAGGACGCAATCCAGGAGTGAGCCGCGCCGGAGATGCCCAGCTCGGAGAGGGTGGAGAGGAGGATCTGATGGTTCACAGTATCAAAGGCAGCAGACAGGTCTAGAAGGACAAGAGCAGAGGAGAGAGAGTTAGCTTTAGCAGTGCGGAGAGCCTCCGTGACACAGAGAAGAGCAGTCTCAGTTGAATGACCAGTCCTGAAACATGACTGGTTTGGATCAAGAAGGTCATTCTGAGAGAGATAGCAAGAGAGTTGGCTAAAGACGGCACGCTCAATAGTTTTGGAATGAAAAGAAAGAAGGGATACTGGTCTGTAGTTGTTGACATCAGTGGGATCGAGTGTTGGTTTTTTGAGAAGGGGTGCAACTCTCGCTCTCTTGAAGACGGAAGGGACATAGCCAGCGGTCAAGGATGAGTTGATCAGCGAGGTGAGGTAGGGGAGAAGGTCACCGGAGATGGTCTGGAGAAGAGAGGAGGGGATGGGGTCAAGCGGGCAGGTTGTTGGGCGGCCTGCAGTCACTAGTCGCAAGATTTTATCTGGAGAGAGAGGGGAGAAAGAAGTCAAAGCATAGGGTAGGGCAGTGTGAGCAGGACCAGCAGTGTCATTAGACTTAACAAACGAGGATCGGATGTCGTCAACCTTCTTTTCAAAGTGGTTGACGAAGTCATCCACAGAGAGGGAGGAGGGGGGGGGGGGGGGGGGGGGGAGGATTCAGCAGTGAGGAGAATGTGGCAAAGAGCTTCCTAGGGTTAGAGGCAGATGCTTGGAATTTAGAGTGGTAGAAAGTGGCCTTAGCAGCAGAAACAGATGAAGAAAATGTAGAGAGGAGGGAGTGAAAAGATGCCAGGTCGGCAGGGAGTTTAGTTTTCTTCCATTTCCGCTCAGCTGCCCGGAGCTCTGATCTGTGAGCTCGCAATGAGTCGTCAAGCCACGGAGCTGGAGGGGAGGACCGAGCCGGCCGGGAGGATAGGGGACACAGGGAGTCAAAGGATGCAGAAAGGGAGGAGAGGAGGGTTGAGGAGGCAGAATCAGGAGATTGGAGGGAGAAGGATTGAGCAGAGGGAAGAGATGATAGGATGGAAGAGGAGAGAGTAGTGGGAGAGAGAGAGCGAAGGTTGCGGCGGCGCGTTACCATCTGTGTAGGGGCAGAGTGAGTAGTGTTGGAGGAGAGCGAGAGAGAAAAG